TACACCAGGACTAGGGCTTGTCCTAGGAGGACGGCAGCCAGTGGTGCTCACTGGACACACAGATGCATCGTGGGCTGACGACACGGAGACACTCAGGTCCTCACAGGGCTACTGCTTTAGTCTTGGTTCTGGTTCAGTCTCGTGGAGGTCCACTAGATCGTCATCAGTAGCTCAGTCCAGTTGTAAGGCAAAGATCTACGTTGGGGCCATGGTTACTCAGGAGCTCTACTGGCTGTCGTTCTTGCTCACTGACTTAGGTGAGCAGCCTACGTCTACCTCGGTCCTATTTGCTGACAGTAGGGCCATGATCCTCCTATGTCAGGAGGCTCGCCTTGAGGGCAGGGCGAAGCACATCCAGCTGTGGTACTTCCTGCTGCATGGGTTGCAGCAGCGCGGCATTGCTCATATAGTACAGGTGGCCTCAGAGGCCAACATCGCTGATATCTTCACTAAGGCACTACCGCCTCGTGACCATCAGCGATTCTGTGCTCAGTTTGGTCTAGTCTAAATAGGAGCTCCACTTCTTGTATCCTGATATATACTATACCTGCTGTGCTATGCATGCAAAAAAAATGCCCGGATGTTTAGCACTAATAAGGGTTTTTAGGCTTTAAATCCAATGTACATGAAACCTGCAACACGCAAGGTGGTACACTTTAGTAGAGGCAGATATTGGATGTGTTTCACAACACTAAAAACCAGAATAGCACATTGGATCTAACTCATACTCCAAAAGATATACAACAAGTACATCCAGACAAATGTTTCCTAGGACAAAGAGCAAACTTCCGAACAGCGTTTCTAGTACCTAGTCCACCGACCATTGACCTTGATCGCCACCTGCACCCTCCTTGGCATGTTATCTACGAGGTTAGTGCGAACCTTTCCAGGGAACTTCTCGCACCCTGAGCGTCTCAGCGTCGTCCGCCCACGAAGAGTCTGTGTGCCCTATAAGGATCACTGGCATGCGTCCTCCTAGCCCTAGCCCCATGCCCGATGTACTTGCTGGATAATGCAAAACCCTCTTAGCGGTTGACCAGTGATGTGGTCGGTGTCTGATTGTCGCCACAAAGTCAGCCAGGATGCTGAGAGAGTATGCGAGATCTGAACGAGTGCAAGTCATCAGGTACATGAGGCAACCCACCAGCTCAGCGTAGGGACCACTAGGCTTTACCGACTCCTTAGGGACTGGAGCCGTGAGCTTGTGGTCTACTGGCGGAGGTATGGGCTGTGCGGAGGAGAACTGAAGACCGAACCTCTGAAGGACCTGGCGCACCAAGTGTGACTGTGTGAGAGTGATGGTGCGCGCTGCTCTGTCCCTGGAGATCTGCAGGCAAAGGTAGTGGCGCAGCTCTCCTAGGTCGGTGCAGGTGTGTCTCCTCAGCAGCTCAACCTTCATAGAGGCCAGTGCGTCTCTGTCTACATTATCGAAGACGAAGTCGTCTACGTAGACAGGGATGTAGAACAGGGTCTGGCCTGAACGAACGAAGAGAGAAGGGTTTGCAAACCATGGGAAAAATGCAGGTCAGCTAACGTAGCACGCAGCATGTCGTGCCACTCACAAGGTGCACGCTGCAGGCCGTAACCAGGCGCCGGAGAAGCCACTCGGTCCCAAGGGCGAAGGAGCCGGTGAAGCCTGGCGGGCGACGCAGGTAGACCTGCTCGTGCAGACTGCCCTGAAGAAATGCTGTAGAGAAGTCGAGAAAGTGCAGCTCGTAGTCACGCTGTGCTGCTACGTGTAGCAGCGCTCAAAGAGTGGTCATCTTCGAGGTCGGAGCGAAGGTCTGAAAGAAGTCAACACCCTCATGTTGATTGAAGCCTCTAGCAACGTAGCTCGCCTTGAACACCGGCGGCTCTCCAGGAGGGTGCTTCACCTTGAAGAGCCACCGGCCATCGATTACGTTCACCCCAGGTGGGGGAATTGCGTTAGCGTAGGTGCCACTGGATCTCCAAGATGCCATCTCCACGTCCATGGTAGCTATCCACTGAGAGGGTCAGGATCCTGAGGTCGCCTAAGCGTAAGTGCAAGGGGTCGGGATGACAAGGGCGTCTGGGTCACCCTCAGGGACTAGCAGCATGGAGCAGAGATGGGGAGCGGCCTTGGACAGGAAAGCTAGCTCGTAGTGCCAGTCCTCTAGGACGTCACTGTCAGTATGCTGACCATATCAGACGATTTAGTGTGATTAGTATGAAATTTCATACCCTAATGCTGGCCAAACCTGAATTATCAGATTACCCATTTTCTCAATCCTGATCAATTCAAAGTACGAATTAAGGGATCCTGAAAATTTCAGACTTGTTGCTAACCTAGTATTGAGTTTCCAGAGCACATCGCGTACAGACTCTGAACTAGATGTACCTACTACCAACCTGCGACCTAGAAAATGTCGGCAAAGTCCCCGAACGCTAGAGACATTCACCACACACCCCACAACCCATCGAAAATTTCGGCCAAGTCCCCAAACGCTAGAGATATCCCCCACACACCCCACAACCCATCAAAGATGTTGGCTAAGTCCCCGAATGCTCAAGACATCCCCCACACACCCCACAACAGATAGGAATTTTCGGCTATGTGAGGTTATCAGACACAGTCACCCTAACACCCCGACCCAAAACAACCCAAACTTTTGGCTAAGTCAGAAAATGATATATAACAGATATGAGGGTGAGCTGGGCACGTAGACAAACCTTCCCTGAGGGGAGGAGGCAAGCGAAATGGAGGGAAAAGGGGGAGATCGAAACGGATAGAAGGGGGGAAGCGAAATGGAGGGGGAGGGGGGGATCAAAACTAGGGAGAGGGGGCAATTTGGGCGAATAGAGCAGTGGGAGAAACTTCGCGCCCTTGCAGCGCCCTGGTTGGGAGATCTTGGACGTCAATCATTAGCAACCATCGAACAATAAAAAAATGCCGAAACAATAGATCGAGACCATCAAATTTTGATAGAATTCCAGTTCACCAAACGGGCATCTGACGAGAATGTCCTTAAAAGGGACGACTATTAGAAAATAGTTGTTTCTTCTCTCCCTGTCTAGGGGCCAAAACATTTTCATGCGCAGGCATCGTCGTCAGTACCTTTAAAAGTTTCGCAAATTTCCGTCTCTATTTTTTTACCTTTGGTTGTTGGTACTCGCTGGACTCTGAGAAAATCAGAGAAGCTCAGTTCTGGACTCTGACATTCAGAGTACCAAAATTTTGGCTGAAGGCCCTTCAGACTTTTTTTTTTTTTTTTTGGGGGGGGGGGGGGGGGGTTGGCTCACAGTGGCTTTTTTTGAAACGTCAGCCCTGGTCACTGCCAAGGGCAGCCAAGGGCAGATGCACCTCCAACGTATGAAGGACAGGAAGGGTCAGAGAAACGAACTGTGGCGTAGTCAACATTCTGTATATGTTGACAGGGATAATGTCAAAGTATATACTTAAAATATATATTTGTGTAGGCTTGGTATTTGTGCTACTTACTGAATCCTACTGTAGAGGGGACAACCCCCCCTTATTGTATCTCCTCTTCTAGTCTATCTCCCTTTTCTCTTGCCAACTTCTCCTCCCTCTCGCAACTCTCGCCCCCTAGCTAAACCTCTTACCATTTTCATAGCGTCCCACCCAGCTACCTTCTAGCAACTCACGACCTATTTCGACATGGTTCAACTTGCTGTACCTTTTTCTTTTGCTTCCGCCGGGCACTCCTCCTCTTTCTCGTGCGCTGCCATGGCGGCCGCTCGTGCTGCTGTGGCGGCGTCGTCGTGCCGCCGCTCGTGCTGCCACGGCGGTCTCAACGCGCTGCCGTGGCAGCCTTGTCGTGCTGTCGTGGCATCAACGTCAAGCCATGGCGGCGTCGTCGTGCTGTCGCGGCGTTGTCAATGCGCCAGCGCACAAGCGGTAGCAGGCCGCACTCCGTGTTAGCCGCGTCCAGCCCGCCCGCACGCCAGTAAGTGCCGCGCCACCCATGGCGCCACGCTGAAGGTCCGCCCCCCACCCCTTCCCCCTTCCCCTCCTCTGCCTTTCCCTTCCTCCCCGCCGCAGCTGCTGGCGACCTCGTGCCGTTCTCCCCCTCGTCATCGCAGGTTGAGCCACGCTGCCGGGTGCCTCGGGTGCCGCAGCCGCCGTCGCAGGGTGCCTCGACGCCGCCGCAGGTGCTGCACGCCCTGCCGCCGCAGTCGCCGATGCCGCCGCCGTTGCGACCTGCCGTCAACGTCGCCACCTCGCTTGCCGAGGGGTCGACCGGCTGGTCGACGCCACAGCTGCTGCACGGAATGGGGGTGCAAGGATGTGGGGGTGCTGCGGGTGGGATGGGCTTGCCACTACCAAGCCTAGGGGGTGTGTTAGAGTACATATTTAAATGTATCTTTGTGTAGGCTTGGTATTTGTGCTACTTACTGAACCCTACTATAGAGGGGACAACCCCCCATTCTTGTATCTCCTCCTCGTCTAGTCCATCTCCCTTTTCTCTCGCCAACTTATCCTCCCTCTCGTAACTCTCGCCCCCTAGTTAAACATCTTGCCATTTTCATGGCGTTCCACCTAGCTATCTTCTAGTAACCTCACGACCTATTTCGACAGATAACACTCTGTACTTGTGTCTCCGCTCCCCTCTTCCTAGTCACACATTTTTGCATTATTCTAACACTTATATAACCTAACATATATATATGAACGTCCACACAGTTACCCTAGTCGCATACGGTTACCATGTCGCATCTCAGATCTAAGGGAATGTACCCCTGTGCATTAGAAGCTAGGAACCTTCATCCTCCTTTGTAAACACTTTATAAACCCCTATATCCCTTACTAAGATCATCGTGTTATTTTACATTTACACAGACAAGGTCAATAGCCAGCCGTAACGTTCTGCTGTTGCCCTCTGAGCATTCAATCATGAAGCTCCTACCGAACTTATATTGTCACATCACAATCCAAAAATGGTCGACAAAAATTGTCCCTTTTTAACAGTACATCAGATTATTAACTTTTAAGGTACCGATATAGGTCTTCAGATTGGATTTTGAGGGGCTGTTGGCTCAGGGTGCCCCCAGCAGGAGCCCCCGTTTTTCAGGGTCGGGTTTTGGAAGTTGCAAAAAAAATCAGGGTAATTTTTTTCGAAGGCTGAATGATTAGGACTGAATCTTCTCAGAGCTGAGATGAGAGGGTTGAACCTTGGCAGTTTTTTTGGGTGGGTATGATTTTAACCTAGCACATTATGTTAGATATGGCATGTTTTGTCAGGAAAAAAAGCATAAGTATGACTAATCAGGTACATTTTTTAGGTTTCTGATCCTTTGATCGGATCGAGCTTCACTGCGTACAAATTGTCACACTACCAGCGTGTTTTTGGCCAAGGACTAGTCACGCCCCTCACGCCTGTTCCACCTCGCGTCAGACTGCTTGCGTGATTTTGGCGAAGGACCAATCACGCCCCTCACATCTGCTCCAACTCGCTTTACCTGCGTCATTTTGCCTAAGGTCCAGTCACGCCCCTCACACCTGCTCCTGCTCGCGTCAAACTGCTTGGGTGATTTTGGCGAAGGACCAATCACGCCCCTCGCATCTGCTCCAGCTTGCGTCTCCTGCGTCATTTTGGCGAAGGACAAGTCACGCCCCTCACAGCTGCTCCAGCTCGCTATCAACTTATACATATGGTTGTATGTAAAAGTTATAGGCTAGAAAGGTGCATGTTCTTAAAGGGTACAACTCCAACCCTATATCTCCCTTGTTCTCTCTTGTTTCTTATCATTCTTGTATTCTAACATGGTATCATGAACAGGTTAGGTCCGCCCACCCGCTTCCGCCCCTAGCCCTAGCCTACCGCCCTGCTAGCCCCTAGCGCGCTCACCGGCCCCTAGCGCGCCCGCCGGCCCCTAGCGCACCATCGGCCCCTAGCGTGCCCGTCACCCCTAGCGTACCCACCGAGCCCTAGCGTGCCCACCGCCCCTTCACCGCCGCGTCGCCCCTCGCGCCTAGCCGGCCCCACGCGCCTAGCCGGCCCATAGCGTACCCGCTGGCCCCTAGCGCTCAGCCGGCCCCTCGCGCACATCGCCGGCCCCTCGCTTCCTGCCGCCCCTTAAGCACCCCGTCGGCCCCTCGCGCCTAGCCGGCCCCTCGCACGCTCACCCGGCTCCTCGCGCACCCGCCCGGCCCACTGCGCGCCTCGCCGGCCCCTTTGCGCTCGCCGGCCCTTCGCGCTCACCGGCCACTCACGCGCCTACCAGCGCGAAGCGCACTCACCGGCCCCTCACGCGCTCGCCGGCCCCTCTCGCACTTGCCGGCCCCTCACGCGCCCGCCGGCCCCTCCCGTGCCCGCCGGCCCTTCACGCGCGCCGGCCCCTCACGTGCACGCCGGCCCTTCACGCGCCCGCCGGCCTCTTCCGTGCCCGCCGGCCCCCTTCCGTCCTTGCTGGCCCCATCGCTCTGCCGGCCCTTTGTGCCCTGCTGGCTTTGTGTGCCCCAGGCCCTCCGCGTCTCGGGCCCCTCTTCGGCCTTCCGCCCGATCTTCCCGCCGTGTCGCTGTGTACCTGTGCCGCTGTGTCACTGTGCCGTTGTGTCATCGTGCCGCTGTGCCGCCATGACGCTGTGCCGCTATGACGCTGTGCTACAAAGGTTGCACGATGGCGGACACTATGCTTTGCCTGGACATGGAGGGACACGCGATCGACTTCACCGCCTGGCTTGTCGATCTCCGCCATCACCTGACAGGTCAGCGCCAGGATGGGCACTTCCTGGCTATGCATGTTGATGGCTTGCTTCCCCACCCCTCCGCGCCTGATCCCCACCCTGCTGACCCCACCACTGCTGAGAGTGAGACATTTGTTGCAGCTGTGCTTGCTCACGCTGTCTGGGACTCTCGTGATGTTGTAGTGCAACTCGCCATTAGTCATGCGCTTCCACTGTCTGAACGTCCGCGCTTCACTGCTGTCGCGAACGCCAAGGATTTCCTAGATGCAGTAGTTGCGCGCTACTCCACACCCGCCTCCGCCTCCGCTGGCCGCTTGATCCTCCCCATGCTATTCCCCGATCTTTCCGCTTTCCCCACTGTCGCTGACCTCGCTACTCACCTCTGTGCCCTAGAGACTAGCTACCGCGCTGCTAGCACTACCGCCCAGCTCACTGCCTTCCCCCCACCGTTCTGTGCTACCCTGTACCTTATTGCCATGCACCTGACCGCTTAGTCATTGCCCGCGACCACTTCCTTAGCCAGCACCCTGGTGACCTCACCTTGACTGCCTTTGTCACTGCCCTTTCCGAAATGGAGACTCGCCTGCGCACTCTTGCCCAGTCGAGCGGTGTTGCGGCAGTCCCTATCTTTCACGGCTGTGCTCCCTCGCAGTGCACGTACACCGACGTTTCTGCCGCGGTCGCTACGGCTGCTCTTGCAACTGAGACCGCAGCAGCAACAGCTTCGGGGCCATCGCAGCCCCAAGGGAGGGCGTGGTGGTGGTGCTGGTGGTGGTAGTGGTGGCGGAGACAGTGGGTCCGAGGAGGGGGGTGGGGCTGGTGTCCAGGAGTAGCAGCAACAATCGCAGCAGCAGCAGCCGGAGCAGCAGCAGCAGTAGCAGCAACAGCCGCAGCAGCCGTGGGCCTGCCTCTCACCAGGGTAGCCAGGAGCCCCTAGAGGTGGTGGCTGCGGTGGCGGTCCTTGCAGCTTGGCGTCTACCGGCGGCTTCGGTGCTGTGAGCTGCCCGTACCAGCTCCAGACAGGGCCCCTCCGTGGCACTGTGTGCCGCCGCCCGCACCCGACTGCCCGCTGCTTCCGCCGGCTCGACGACCTTTACCGTCGCCGCTTTGGCTCGGCCCCAGACCTCCTTGAGTGGCCTAGGCTGCTGCGCCACGGTGCGCCTAGTTCTGCCCTAAATTCTCTGTATGCTGACGCTTCTAGTGTGTCGAGATCTTATTACGCTGTGCTCTCTAGCTTAGGCGTAGCACCTGTGTGTAGTACAGACTCCTCTCCTGCGTCAGGCGTGGGACCGTTTGCTTTGTCTAGCCTAGGCTCTACCCTTGCTCCTCCTTTGTCTGCCTCTACCACTTCGCTGTCCTTCACACTTGACTCCGGTGCGTCTGCTTGCTTCTTCCGCGACCACGTTGCACTCACGCCGCTTGTCGCGCCTGCTGGTGTCGCCCTTGCTGATCCCTCCTCTGGTCCTGTCCTTGCTCACAGCTACACTACCCTTCCCTGTCCAGCAGTTCCCTCGGATTTCCTTACAGGCCTGCACATCCCCTCGTTCTCCCGGAACTTAATTGGTGTCGGCTATCTTCACGACCTCGGCGTCACCATTGCGTTCTCGGATCACGAGCGGCGTTCCCCCGAAACCCGTTGTCTGGCCTGTTTACGCAGGACACTGCTTCCCCCCCGGGTGGGGCATCCTCCCCGGGTCCAGCGTCTACCCAGGCCACCGCTGCGTGCTCATGTCGGTCGCTCACTCAGCCGTCGCTTATGTGGCACAACCACTTAGGTCACCTTGCACTATCGTGCCTGCGTCATATGCCTCAGCACGGTCTCATCCTAGGTCTCCCTGCGTTGTTCCTGCCCTCCATCCCTTGCCTTCGCCGCCATGCACGCCCTGCATCAAGGGCCAGCTGTGCCATCCCCCTCACTCCTCCTCGCTTCGCCCAGCCACCGCACCTCTCCAGACCCTGAACCTGGACGTCTGGGGCCCAGCCCCCATCCCTAGACCGCATTGCAAGCGCTACTTTCTCGTGCTTGCTGACGACTACACGTGCTACACCATGGTGTTTCCCCTGGAGCAGAAGGCCGACAAGCCTGACACTCTTATCCCGTAGGTCGTAGCTGCGTGCCTCCACCGCAGTCTTCCTCTGCTATGCTTTCTTTCCGAACGTGGCGGCGAGTTCGCCTCTGGTCGGCTTGGACAGTTCTGTCGTGCGGAGGGCATTACCCAGTTGTACACCCTACCGGACTTCCCGCAGCAGAATGGGGTTGCTAATCGACGCATCAGTTTGGTCATGGAGGTGGCTCGTACCTCCATGATTCATGCCGATGCACCCCATTTTATGTGGCCGTTCGCTATTCGCTACGCCGCTCACCAGCTTAACCTCTGACCGTGCTCCCTGCGGCCGCAGGTTTTGCCGACCCTTCTTTGGACCGGGTTCCATGGTGACGCGTCTGCGTTCCATATCTGGGGCTGCCTCGCTCACGTTCATGCCTCTTGCACGGACAAGCTCACTGCCCACTTTGTCCCCGGTGTCTTCCTCGGTTTCCCCCTTGACTCGTCTGACTGGCACTTTACCACCCGCCGTCTCACCGCTTCTTTCACTCTCGTAACGCCACTTTCGATGAGTCGGTCCCCTTTTATCATCGCTTTCCCCACCAAGGTCTCCGGGTTTCCCCTTCCCTGTTTCTGGTTCCCACTCCCCCGGTTCCCCCTGCTCACATCCCCCCCCGTCCTACTCCGTCTAGTGTGTCTCACCTCACTCCCCTCCCGTCGGTTGTCCCGGTCGAGAAGTCGGCTGACGTTGGTGGCCCCGCGGTACAGTTCTCACTGCCTGCCTCTCCCCCGGTGTCTCCTCATGCGCTATTACAGTCGCCGCCGGAACAACAGCCATCGCCGCCGCAGCAGGAGCCGTCGTCGCCGCAGCAACCGCCACCGTCGCAGTAGCAGCAGCTGTTTGTGTACTCTACGGGTGCTGGAGTTGAGGAGGGTTTTAGTCCGGGGGTTCCTGTCGTGGCTTGTCTCGGCGGGCTCAGGGGTGGCACCGGTGCTGAAATGGGTTCTCATTCTGGTAATGCTTGTTCAAGGGGTGCAAGAGTGGAGTGTTCCGGAGGTGGCCGCAGTGCAGCTGGTGGTCCAGGTGTCGACGTCGAGCAGTAGCAGCAGCAGCCGCTGCCGATGTCCGCCCTTCACCTGCTCGGCCTTACCTCCCCTGACCGCTCGCCTGCGCCTCCCCCACCCCTCGTCCCCTTCCTGTCCACCGTCCTGTGTTTCCTCCGCCGGACTCGTCCTCGGATCATTTCCCACCTCGTTCCCCTCCTGTTACTCCTCCTCTGTCTCCTGACCTGATGCTCCGTCTCACGTCTGGTCTCGCCGTCCCTCTCGTGCTCATCCTGTCTCC